CAGGGTTCGAAATTTACTCTTATTTACACGCAATTTGCGTCAGGATTTTGAGATTTGCGTTTTGATATGGGTTCCAAAACGAAAATACTTGCGTCTGGTATTTTACTGCAGCATGTGTGTATAAATTGTGTCAATATTTCCGGATCATCGATCTATTTGTAACAAGTGCCGGTCTATGGTCAGGACCCGTCGATGTGCCGATCAAAACATAATCTGTAAGTTGTACACATGTGTGCGTGTCTAAATATAGCACAAGTACTAAGTCTCGTTTAGTCTTGGCAATAACGAGTGTCGTTCGGAACATATATATGTGCAGACAGCGTCAAATGTCAAAGCTCAAACGATGATTACGTTTTTTTTAAAAGAAAATTGGAACCTGACGGCACTGAAGGCACTTAAAAGTGCAAGATAGCTGACTTTGCACCAAGACCATTCGTCAACAGGTGGTGGATCAATGGCCGGCGGACAAAGCGCCCAACCACCTTGCCATATGGGCCCCACCAGTAGAAACACTATACATGCCGTTGGATGATTCTTAAATAAAATTTTGACGTCCAAATATTTTGCTTCTTGATTTGTCAATTTGCTTCTAACTTTTGAAACCACAAGCAACAGTTTGCTTGTGTTTGTGTCACATTCATTCAATCCTTGTATATATAGAGTTATAACCCTTTGTGTCACATCCAGGACATATATATATAGAGTTATAGCCCTTTGTGTCACATTCAGGACATATATATATAGAGTTATAGCCCTTTGTGTCACATTCAGGACATATATATATAGAGTTATAGCCCTTTGTGTTACATCCAGGACATATAAATACATAGAGTTATAGCCCTTTGTGTCACACCCAGGACATATATATATAGAGTTATAGCCCTTTGTGTTACATCCAGGACATATAAATACATAGAGTTATAGCCCTTTGTGTCACATATATATATATAGAGTTATAGCCCTTTGTGTCACATCCAGGACATATATATATAGAGAGTTATAGCCCTTTGTATCACATCCAGGACATATATTATACAATTATGGACTTTTGTGCTGGTGAATATGATGTGATATGAACCTGAAAGAGTGATATTGACTGAGGCGAAGCCGAGGTCAATATCANAATACATAGAGTTATAGCCCTTTGTGTCACATCCAGGACATATATATATAGAGAGTTATAGCCCTTTGTATCACATCCAGGACATATATTATACAATTATGGACTTTTGTGCTGGTGAATATGATGTGATATGAACCTGAAAGAGTGATATTGACTGAGGCGAAGCCGAGGTCAATATCACTCTTTCAGGTTCATATCACATCATATTTACCAGCACAAAAGCCCATAACTGTTTTATTATATGCTTCAACAATAAAATAAAACAAAACTAAAGGTTCAGATTTTTGTACGCGAGCCTCCGTGTAAAATTTAGCCATGTTTGAATACATCAGTTCATCATTGTAGCTTTTGAAGGCATCGTCTAGGTTCTTTTTCTTACGATAAGCACGGAGGACATGCACTGTGTGTTCAATGTGTCACGTGTATAGGATCCAACCAATGTGATTGCGAGAAATGTTCATGCATATAATAAATATATATATATACTGTGTCACCATTTTGTATGCGACTGTCTCTTAGGGTGGTGGCCATGGAGTGTCTCAAACTAGTACGTAAATCAGATCTCATGCTTGACTATGTTTTGTTGTGTAGAGTTGTGTCCTTTTGTTCATATTTGAGATGTAACACATTTCTCCCAATACCCTTGTTATAATAGATGATATGACTGAAACTAGAGCATATGAATGAAGATTTCACAATTTTCCCCATATTCTCAGAAACAGGTTTTTACTAAGCTTGCTATTATGAGAAGTTTTTACATACCGTATAACCAACCACATCACATATATACTATATATTTTGACCTATTTTTACTGAAAATGAGGTCTCGTTGTGTAGTAATAGTCCGCTCCGAGGGCATACATTAATCACTAACCTATTTAGCTAGAATAGTTTTGAAAAAATATATACACAAACGTACTTGTACATGAGTGTTGTTTTGGCCGAGATATAGCTATAGACTGCCTTGTGGTGCGGATTAGATTAATAGTCATTGTTACCGGCTTAAGTAATGAGTTCAGACAGTGGTGATGTGATGCCAAGTGAACTCTGGCTACACATGTACCAGTGACCTGGTTACAGGACTGCCAGTAATTCAGAGGACAAGTCATTATATAAAGGCATTATTTTTTACTCATTATACATGTACAATGTAAACTGGACTTTATTTCCCTGCCAAACCACACCTGCTACAGCTTATAGTGCAGATTCCAAAGTATGACATTAAATCTTTGCAAAGTTTGGTTTGGTTTAATTTGTTTGTATTTTACGTCCTATTAACAGCCATGGTCATTTAAGGACGTGCCAGGGTTTGGTGGTGGAGAAAAACGACCGACATTCGACCAGTACCTGGCATCTGCCCCACATAGGTCTCAAACCCGCGACCCAGTGGCCATGGTAGAGGGCTAGTGGAAGCAGAATGTCAGACACTCTAATTCCACTTGGCCACAGCGGCTCCCTTTTTCCAAAGTGTAAATGACTGATCCTCTCTAAAGATGAAACTTCTTTTCGTTCATAAAAAATGCAATCCCCCCTTGTTCTTTTCGTATATGGCTTTCAGTAATCTACAATAAGTTATGCATTTAGATGTGTTGATAGAGTGTATAGCTTGGAGCATATTTGTATCATGTTATGATTATCTAACAGTTACAATTTAGAGTTAACAAACATTGAATTCTGTAGGATTTTACATGAGTGTCGTGTACTTCTTTTTAAGCCGCTCTTGGCGAGAGCCGAGCGGCTTATTAATTCTGTCCAGAGAACGAAATGACGGACCCACTTCCGTTACGGATGCGTGCGCATAATTCAGTCTTGCATGCTTCCGCTATATAGTTTCGTTATCGTAAATAGAAAGTAGAATCTCTGACACTCACCTGTGGGTTACTTAAAGTCTTCTGATACTCTTCTCCAAGTAATAATCTATACTTTTAATAATTGCTGAAAACAAAATGTTTATCTCCGGTGCATTCTACGAGTGTTGTGGTGGTGAAATTCGTGCACTACGTTTGAGCGTTTTAGCAACTCTGATTGAGGTCTGAGGAGTGTTATGCGTGTGAAACACATATGATGTTTCAAACGGGAACGTAATATGACATATCGTGCTTAGGTTGTTAACGGTAATGCTTAATGGCTCTGAGACGAGAAGATATGTAAACTGTGTATGCTTATCAAACATTTCTGTAACACAGCATGCTATTTCTGGTGTATTTATTTATGAAAGTGTAACAATTTAAGAACATGAATTTACATGACACAACTGCCGCTGCTGTTTGACAAGAATTCGCGCTGTGTCAAAATATTATCCAATCCGGTGTAAGGGAAATAACTCTTACGTTAGTAATTAATATAAAGTCGCATTGAGAAATATAATTCAAATATATTCCAAGAACATTTTTGAGATTTTGTATATTCAATGACAGTAAATAAAGTCACTACATATATAAATAATTATTATTCATATGAATAAATAATAAATAAAAATAAAAGGAGTACAATGTCTCTTTTCTCCATGTATTTTTCCCCCATTCTGTTAATTCTTCATTTCACAATCACAAAATGCACCTATTCTTTATTATCCATTCACCGATTGGCATTCTGCACATAAATGCTCATGTCACATCATTGGAGGATGCTAGTTAATGAAAATTACAACAATGCGTCACACTGAAAGAGGGTGAAAAAAGAGGAGAGGGAGAAATGTTTTTAAGGCATCATTTAAGAGGTGATTGATTTTGGAAATCCCAAAGGCATCATCATCACATGACCTGATTTTCAATTAGCAGAATACAGAACACATATCTGAGGTATTATAGAAGATATTGATGCTCAACGTCTTACTGAAGCAATTCAATTTAAAGTGGTGAGCGGCTTAAATGTCAGACTGACATAATTCTAGTTTTAAATTTGGATGAGTCCCATTATAATGAGGCATTGTATGTGGCCTGTTGTTGTTCCCCCAAAATAACTGACAACATGAAATATTGATATAAATGATGTCACACTGCAACAGGAAATGTAATAAATATGCTTTTTATAACAGGTAATTATAAAAACAAACTAAATTGAAACTTTTTTCACACAATTAAGTTTAAAATGATGAGAAGACAATAAGATGAATAATATCATTTTGTGAACCAGCTGAACTTATCTCTTTTGGCCATGAACATTTCTACATGTATACGTAGCATGTGCAGGAAACGGACATATCATCAATTTTCGCGAAAGGTTATGATGACACGGGGTAAAAACTTTTATAATCAAGTGTATAAGTTGGTGTTGTGTGCTGTTAAATTTATGTTGTGTTTTTTTAATCTACATCCTGAGGCTTTTTCTCTTGACAGGTTACGTATGCAGACTTGATGTTGCCATAATTACTGTATGGAAATTTTAAGTTGACTGGAAACTATGCAGCTTCAGAAGTCTGTAAAGTGTGTACATATTTAAAGTGTGACCTCATGGGTGACCTTCACCTGTAGTTGAACTTAATTAGTCGAAGAATGACCACCCCGAAGGATTGAACTGGACAGTCAACAGTTTAGCTGATCACGTTTGGAGTGAAGAGTCAGGAACTTAAATATCCAGCTGTTCATCATGATCATGACCAGACCACAGGGTTGGATTGGCGTTGATACCATTCAGTGACATTTACTGCATACATGTGAAAGTGATGTTATTTGTAAGTGGTTTTTACACTTACGATACTTTACTATTTGAACTTTAGGTTAGAAACTAAACAGTGCTAATTTTTCTCGTTTTTTTTCTCTCTCTCCAGAATTGAATTTTATATTTTGTTTTATACAGTAAGTTGTTGTGTTTTAGTATTAGTTTGACCTAATCCAGACTTGTTTACACAGAATTTTAACTCTTACTGTTGCATAATTAAGAAGAGATTGTGACTCTGAAGAATAGTTTTTATTTCCATTTTTTTTTGTTGAAAAAATTATACCTTGTGTTGCTTGTTAAAATTTGTTTGTGACTTTTTAATAACAGGAGATAAACAGTACAACAAAGTGTGGGGTACCGATTACCTGTGAAAATTATATGTTCACACGTTTTAATATATACCTCTATTTAAATATCAGATCACAGAGAATGAGATTGCATCAAACAGCTTAATATGCATGCACATTATACATGAGGTAAGGGTATTCATTCTGCTTGAATTAGTTTTTGCATAATATCACTGCAATCTCTCCCAATACATTCTTCAGGTCTTAGATTGTATGAAATACAACATTTGCATTTATACATACAAATGTACATGTACATACATTAATTTATGTTTGACATCTGGGCTTTTCCCCTTTTAGGGTATAGTGTTTTCATGATTTGAATCATGATCGACTTTGATTGTTAAAGCGACTTACAAATGGATCAAGTCCTCAGATCGTTTTAGTAGACATTTTTGGCTGTTCTTTTTTTGTAGTGAGAATATTCTTGTCATCTAATTTTTGTCTCTAATCTCCTAGTGCTACCCATGGATTCTTATTTTAAAATTCATTTAAATTGAATGTCTTGTGAATGTATGAGATGAAAATACACACGCAGTGTTAAAATGTTAGATGTATGTATGAGATGAAAAGATAGTTTGTGTTCAGAACTATAAACAATGCATCACACATATGTACATTATTATTTTCCTGGTACCAGCTGGTGTAGTATACAGTACCTGTCTGTGAAGTGCCTACATATGCTATCACATCATTAGTGTGTGTCACGTACATATACGGTAATGTAGATGTAACAGAGACAGCTATAACACACCTGACTAGAATCAATGTATCAAAGTGAAACATGTGGAAATTCAAACCTGTTTTATCCAAATCAAATGAAGATAGTTTGTCCATTTACCTCCCTTTTTAATTACCTAAGGCTACATTCGCGTATACCGGTTGAAACGGTACGTGTGACGCAGAAATTTTCCACGATAAACGAACGCTCTTGGACTGTTAAATAAGCAGAGCTAAAAATGCACAGTTTCGGAGAATTAAAGATAATATATCAAGAATAATATGCCCTTCTTCCATCCCTCCACTAAATTACACAACGTATCTAAAAAACTACATGTGACTTGACATTGTTTAAGAAAGAAATAATGCAAATTGACAATAGTCAGCATTTTAGTTTCGGTCAGGTACGTCTGGACCCCTCAATCTACACGTACCAAATTTTCCTGAGGTCATCCTCGGTCCAAATCTGTACCTGTTGTTTTCTTTACAGGTTCAACCGTTTCAACCGGATACGCGAATGTAGCCTTAAACACAAAAAGGTATATTATAAAGTAAATCATGATCAGATATGATTTTAAAATACTGGGGTAATTAGAATGTGTGTTCACTGTTGAGCATCCCTTTGAGTTATGTTAATACAAACACTAGGTCACTGGAACACACTATTAGTATTGCCCTACAGAAATACATGGTGTGGTGCAGGAATGTAAAATATACCAGGTATACGGTTTACGAAACAAGGCATGTCTTTGTCTGTAGTCCTGATCAGTAGATAGCTCATTCATGATTAAAGTGAAAAAGTTGATATCATAGACTGCGTTTTTGTGTTAAGAATGAAATTAAAAACTGTTGAGTAAGCTCTGTGTGTCATCTAATTGTGAATTGCTCACCCTTAAATTCACCATTAGAAATTCAGAACATGAGGTACTTATAGTTTTTTACTGATTTTGCCCATTCATATGTCAGACCAAAATTAACAGATTGAAAATTATATCATGCCGATTTAAAACTCACAAATGTTGATTTACCAAAAGATTGTTATTAATAATAACTTAATGGCTACTCAACTTGTACAAACCTATAGAGTTTGCTTTCAAAAGTGTCAATGCTTACTACACAATTGTTTACAATTTGTGGTTCCTGTGTGATGAGGGCTTGTTGTAAATGATTCCTAATTACTGTAGGTTATATAAACCATAAAGCCACATACAGTAACTCATTCACCCCTGGTATTTCAATATGAACTATTCCAACTTTTGAATTGGAATAGTTCAAATGTGTCTTCAGGGGTGAATAAGTTAATCCATGTACTTATGTACATGTGCAATTGTATTTATATAGTGCCCTCCTACTATAGCTTTGTTTAACTTTTTTTTATTTAATTCCTCTTTAAACTCGGACAAAAATAGGGCCGTTTTCTTTTAAATGGTTAAACCGGTCAGACCATAGTTGTTCGTTTATTAAATAAGGTCGGACCTAGTTATCTGATGCTGCTTTCAGGCGAGCCTTGACAAGGCCCTAGGACTTCTGTTCCTCAAGATTTTCACTTGAAATTAATTAAATCTTTTAGAGAAATGATGACGTTGTTCAAGGTGATGCTTGTATTAATTTATACCCACCTGCTTCCATCCTTCAGCATATCTAGTCCCTTTACCTTTTGCATATCCAATATACATGTATCATATGCAGATATATTTTTATCTAGTTTTATAGCTTGATTTGATAATTTGCATTGTGAGTGGTATTGGTAAATGTGGGAAAGTGTTTTCTACAAACAGTTGTGAATTAATGTAAGTACTTAGTGTTGTTATTACTGGAAACAGTATACAGCTTTAATTTTGTTAAGCTTATGTATAGTTTACTCCAACCATGTTGGAGGTTTACACGGCGAGATACTTTTGACGGGCACGTCGCAGTCGGCAAAATCATATCCAATAGAATAAAGGCCGACCAGCGGCCTCTTACGTCATAGGACTAAGGTATACAATGTAGTTCAACTCTCGCTAAAAACATAGTTAGGATGGGAATAAATATGAGATACAGGATTTGAAGAAACCATTTGGAGGATGGAAGACCAGAACAGTTTTTAATTACAAATTAAAAATTGGTTTTTGAAAGGTGCAAAACTGCTGACTCGCAGCTGTATGATAGCATGAATCTCAATTGATCTGTATTGTGCTGAGCTGACTATGTTAAGGATAATATGTAGACAGTTAAACCTTGATTGTTGTGTTTTTGATAAAAACCTTAATGCACTTTTTGATATATGTAAGGATGAATACTTAGAAATAATTTATAAGAAATAATGGTGGGATGAAAATCAACTTTTTATTGGAGATTGTAGTAGCCAAGTTTGATGGTACAAGGGGGATAACTCGTTCATCCTTAGCAGTTAGTCTGAGACGGTTGGACATGTAGCTATAGACATTAAATTGTTTGTACCTGTATGTGCATGCAGGAATGCTCTTAGGGCCTACAATTCAGTATAACCTGTTTTTTACTGTGGTTTCGTTGCAATGAATTTTGTTATTGTTTCATTTACTATTTTTAACTACATGAACAGTGTAGCCAAAGTATCCTCTGGCCCTGACGCCAGACTCATGGACATTTTGACTTAGAATCTCTCTCGAGCTCTCTGTAACACTAAACTTAATTGAAAATGTTAATTAATTTAAAAATTGCCATCTTGTATATCTATATTTTATTATGTTATTTGGAAAGGCTTTAACATAAGTTGGACAACTTGTGCCCAGTCCCTTTTATATATTAGATGCAAATAAAAATATATTTTAATCAAAAATAGATGTCTGGTGTAGACATCTATCTGTCAAAATGTCTAAGCCCGGTGTCAGGGCCAGAGGGAACTCGGGCTAGTACAGTCCACCTCATTTTGCAACACTTTCTTACAATTTTAACTTGGACTCTAGGTCATTGTTTTTGTTAAATGTTAGAGCTTATGTGTTAAGTTTGTAGTTGGTGATAGGACACATTAATCATGTTTCAGTTAGTAGATTTCCATATACTGGTGTAGGTGTTGGTTTGTGTGGTTTTGTTGACTGTTACTAAAATGGACGTTTATACTTACCTTTGTTTATTGTGCTCCTTCTGATAGGTAGAAGTGACTTGTTTGTTTCTGTAAAACTGGAAGTTTAATTCATCGTTATCGTCGAAAGCATTTTATATTTACAAACACATGTTTTTTCTACATAAATCAACCTAGAAGTTTTAAGACATGATACAATAAACATATTTATGAATAGCAGATTTGTCAGGTTGCTCTGATTTTGCAAATGAACGAAGCCAAATCTTCAAAAGGATTTATAAATACATGTTAGTTTCGTTTTGAACCTCAATTATTATGTGTGCTCATTTGTTTGTAATTTAGCTCATTATTATCAATTTCTCAAAAAAATTCTACCGGATAAATGCATTTTAAAACTTTGCTTCACACTGGAGATCAGTCGTTGAAATATTGGAACTGTAGTTGTTTTATTTAAATGACAGAAGGTACATGATGTCTCACTCCATGTAGGGGAATGAATGTATAACAGAATAATGAGATTGCATTTGTTTGCATGTGAGTGGGCTTATTACCAGGCATGGGCTTATTACGGGATAAAAACGGCAATGTAATTATCAATACTGGCTATATATTAGTAGAAACCACAGATATATGGACTTATTTGAAAGGGACATAAAACAAACCCCAAGGGACCTAAGAATTTTTATGATTTTCTTATAATTGAGGATTGGCAATATTAAGTGTGTTCGTAGTGTTTCACTGTAAATAATAAACATTAACCCTTCATTGGAAAAGAATCTTGGCCATAATCATGTACTTATCATTATTTGTGATGAAACCTATCTCGTGTCAAACTTCGTTTTTCACAATGTTGTTGCTTACTTGGCAGGTCACTAGCGAGGTACGTGTATTTGGTGTAGTGTTGGTCTGCTAGTGATGATGATCAGGAGTACTTTGGAAAGGGCCCAAATGATTAATTTCCTTTGTGATTTCTTCACATAACGATCATCAGAATATAGTTATAATTACATGTATCAAAAATCACATTATATATATCTGGAAGAGAATGAGATATGAATAAAACTTTCGTTTAACCTTAGTCTCTAAACAGTTGGTGGACTTATCAATCTATCAAAACATGTTAATACATTTCTTCTAAATAATGGGAAGAAATGGGTGGGTTTGATATTTGTGCATATTTAAGGAAACGTCCCGTGAATAAAACAATTCTTATGTTTGAGTTGTTTAAAGTCCTTGTATACTAGAGAATAGTAAATTGTTTTTTAGTAAGACTTGCCAGAGTGTGTGCAGGGGCTACAATAACATGTGTGTATCAGTGCTCAGATAAGTGCTCCGTGTACTATGTACATGGATTTATAGAAATGTATAAAAAAAAGGCTGGAGAATCAAATATTTACAGTTTTGAATTGATGCAGTGTTAATGACAGAAAATTGTAGAGTGTTTTGAATGGTGGTTTTTCGTTTACAATTGTTAGGTATGTACGTAGTATTTCACCTACTGAAAAGATTCAACAAAAAAAGTCGGAATAGAAAAATGCAAAAATTACCCTTTATACAAATTGCCACACAACTTGTGGAGTTTGTTTGGTCTCTAGATCCACTGTCTCCCATATTCATTGCCTATCACAGTGTTACTTTAGAAAAGATGTCATGAGCGTTAAAACTATGCATACAATTTCCCGAGTGTCAGAATTTTACAAGGTCACGAGTCTGAAAACAGAAGTTATGAATGTCGTAGAATTTCACAGTTTCATGTTTGTCATACAATTTTACACACTTTGTCATGCGTGTCAGAATTTCAAACAAAGTGTCATTAAGTTTACAGTGTCATGCTTGTCAAGTTTCCACGCACATTTTCATATGTATCGGGTATTCTAAACATGTCATATCATTTCATAGAGATTTGCTGCCTCATGGATACATTCAGGATAAACTGTATGTGTGAGATTTTGTTTTGAGCTACATTTACTTAGAAGAGAAATCCTGCGGCGATTATAATCGGAATGGAGGGATCTAATTTGTTCTAATATGTCCAAAATGTCCATCGGCCACTAACATTTAATAGGAATGTCATCGCTATTAGTATCAGCAATTTCATTTGATACCAGTTTTTTGTAAACGGTTATAAAACTTATTAGTTAGTTTGTTAATTTTGACATATTGATGTGTTAT